CTGACCAACTCATCTAATCAGATTTATTGTACTTAAAACTTTTTTTCTATGGTTCAGTTGTGAAAATAAATTTCTATTTTCTAGAGAGTAATACTAAATCAAAATGTAGGGTCTTTGATTCTATGTACATGTAATCTTAAACTTTTTAAAGGTACCCTTTTTTGGAAGGGCGGACAGTTGCCCCGTCTTATATTTGGAAGGATCCGCCACCGCAGCAAAAGGGGGGAAAACATCTGAGGGGGCAACTATTTGGGGGTCAAATGTCCTAGAATAAAGTTTAAAGCGATCAATCTTGCTTTTAGTCAATAACATTATAGTTCACTTTATTTTTTCAATACAAACTAAGTGGAAACAATATTTAACATACATGTAACATACATGTTTAGTCTATACAATCATACATGTACATGTTAAGGCTGTATGTGGTGTCAGGTTACAATATTTGACATATAGTCTCTAATTGTAAATTCAATATTTGATTAAAAATACATTGTTCACATTTCAAAGATAATAAATATGAAATATTTGCTCATCTCTTCGGTTGTATTACCTAATATAATTATTATGACGGGAAGTTTTTAAGCAAACTTTCTTCAAGTTGGTATATTTACTTTTCATAATTAAATTCACAACTGGAGTGCGAAATTGATTAATATTGTAGTCCAAACAATGAAAATGTTATTAATAAGCAATACCCTCAGAAGAGTTCCCTGAAGTATTATCACCAAATTGATTTGAACACAAGTATAAATTAAACTCACATGTTTTGTTGTATATATCAAATTGTTTAAATACGATATGTGTTTTATTGTAAGTCTATGATGCAGAATTTTATGGCCTGCAGATAATCAAACTATTTCTTAGGCAAATCTTGTTTTATTTGAATGCATAAAAGCAAATTGATAGTACATTTGGTTTGTTATTTATTTTTCAAGTGAAAAACAATCAAAGAAAAGAATTATTCCATGGCAGAATTGTGTTTTATTATAAGTATTTGAAAATGAAAGGAAAACTAATCACAAATTTTTAGTGGTTACCACTTGTAGCTCAATGAACAGTGATAATTTTGAATGATATTTTTGAGGAATCTTCTCATTTATTTAGAGGCTGTAACATTTAATTTAATGCATTGGAGCACATTTCTGTCATGAATAATTTTTTTAACAACATTTCAATATGACGTATGAAAAATTATCCGAGCTTGAGTTATACTTTTTTTGTATAATTATCAAGTGAGTTATTAAAATTTTTCATATTAAATTTGTAAGTTAGTTACATAATATGGTTGCTATTTTTATTTGCTGCGCTGTGTAGTGGCTATGTTTAGGAAAGGAGCTACGGCAGTATTAGGTATAATATATATGTTATACAACCATTTCTAGGTATTGTTTTGTGCATGTTGTTTTTCAGACATTTTTATATATATAAGTTGCTCTAAAAGTCTCACTTTTGAATTATATACTATGCTTATTATACTCTTAAGAAATGTTTGCAAACTTTGAAACATAAACATTTCATTATATGAACAAATAAACTCACTGCTTTCCACGTCTGTGGAAATTTTTGCCATATTTTCTTCTTTTTAATTTTCCGTTTTCAGTTTTAATTTGCAAAATTTAAAGCCGATTTGATGTAAATTTTTAATTTTTGTTTTTCATCATGCAAAACAATGTTTATAAGCAATGTTTACCCCAACAGTCCTGAGCTTTTTGCAAAACAATCTTGATTTTATTTCTTTATATGATATTGCTATGAGGTTTCTTAATGTTGTTTTTTAAAAATCGATACATTTTATAATATATTATTGTTTTCTGTACATTTCTAGTGTTACTTTATACTTTGTTAAAGAAAAGAGCATACTAAGGGGCACCCGTGGCTAAGTGGTAAAGGTGGTTGACTTCAAACCACTTGCCTCTCACAGCTGTAGGTTTGAGCCCCGAAAGCATCTTTGATTCTTACATGTGAGGAAGCTATCCAGCTAGCTTATGGAACATTGGTGGTTCTACTCAGGTGCCTATTTGTACCTGAAATAATGTACAGAAGGGCACCTGAGGTCTTCCTTCACCAGTAAAGCTCCAAAGTCGCCATTATGACCTACACTGTGTTGGTGCGACATAAAACCCAAACATGCTAATTTTATAACATAATCAAAAGCTCTATCACCGAAAAAGTTGACATTTATATGATGTGTTTAAGCTTACTTTTTATAATTGATTCATATAGCTTCGAAAGAATTGAAAACAGGACTAGTACAAACAATTTTGACAGAGACTGCCTTTCATAGATGTCAATCTAGATATACTATATGTTTAGGATAAGTATTTAGTGATCCGGGAGTCATGTCCACTATTACAGTGTAAAACAGTTATCATATTGTGTTCATTATCATTAGGCAAGCAGGCTTGCAATATTAATTAAAATATCGACAAATTAATCAACTGTCAGCCTAATGCAGTAGGTAAGGTTGTCAGTCAGGTGTCTTCTAGTTAAATATCAATGCAAGACTGGTTTGGATTGTACTTTTTTTGCGAAAATAATTTCTGTAAATAAACAATCAAATACGAATACATTATATTTTTTCTTGACGTAAAGAAATGTTAAGTGTTATGTTATTTTTATTAACTTCTCATTTCATTTTTTTTTTTCAAAAGTAATGAATACATGTACACACATTGTTTCAACTATAGTTCAATTGGCACGAAATAATCGTGCACTGCACAAGTACTATGACTACTGCGCACTACACAGGATAAAGAATATTATTACCCGACCAGTATATTTAAATTATTACATATTATAACAAAACTACCTTTCTTTTCCAATTCATTAGCATCTTTAGTAAATTTGAAAAAAAGGAAACAAAAATAAAAGTTATACAACTTATGAGGCTCAAACTCATGAAAAAATTAAGTTGTATTGCATCCCAATAACTTTACCAACTTTGCTCTCAAGACATTTAAAAAAAAAAATTCTTATTTCGTACTATATTGGCTTCTTAAAAACCTGTTGAGACAAATATTAAACAAAAAATGTAACATCACTCTCACATTATCATAGCGGCACAGTACTTATTGAAACATATACTATTGCTGTTATTGTTGATGAGATATTAACTCATTTGTTGTGTACATATAATAAATTGTTTGTTAAAAAGTTTGTGTAAGTGTAAAATTTAAAAAAACTTATGACTAAATTGTTTTCTGCTAGATTTTAAATATCACTTAATTTTCAATATCATGTGATTGTAACTATATGTGTAGATATCTGATTCTTTTATGCCATGAAAAGCTTTTACTTTAATCTAAGATAAGATAAAATTTAGAAACATGTTATAATCATACTCGGAAAACATTATTTGAAGAACTCTTCAATAAAAGCACCAGCATTAAATTTTTTATGAGAGTAAAAATTGAAAGAATGTAATCTTGTTAATACAAGACTTCCTGATATTGGTATTTATGCACTTCAAATTCATCTTAATGTTTTAATGAACAAAAAAAATTGAATAATTTTCTAATTCATTAAAAGATTGAAAAGTGCACAAAATAAATAGATTAAACTAATACTCTAATGAAACAATTGCCTGTAACATATTAAACTTTGTAGCAAATTGACATTATATTTGGTTAGAAATCTGGTATAAAACATGGACAAGAATAAGGAAAATGTTCAGAAAACATGGCCTTTCTCTTGGATATACGTACATTTTTAAAATCTGTTCATATACTTTCTTTGAGTTCAATATTTTCAAATTGTGTTTTATTTATCTGGAAGCACGCACCTAAAAAGCTTCATTTTTTTTATGAAAAACTTTAAAAAAGCACATTTGGTTGTGGTTGTCACCAGTGCAGTATAATGTATTTTTGGTGACAGTTTACTGTATTTCTTCATTTAACTGTGCTCTTACTTATTTAACACTTCAGTATAAATTTTAAAAAAATTATTAAAGTGAAATGGTTTGAGATTCTCATGCAGTCCGTATACTACTCTAAATAAAATATTTGAGAATCCACCTGGTTTAATTCCTCACCGAGTGACATTGACATGTTTTTATGCTGTCATAAGTTTTGCCAGAACAGTACAAGAATGCTTTTGATCTGAATAGCTTTACACTTACATATGTTTACATGCTATGTAAAGAAAGTGGTAGACAACCTGGAATAAAAAAAAATATTTAAAAAAAACACACACAAAAATATAAACAATCAATGTCTGAGAGAGGTATTATATGAGCCGTGTCATGACAAAACCAACATAGTGGGTTTGCGACCAGCATGGATCCAGACCAGCCTGCGCATCCGCGCATTCTGATCAGGATCCATGCTGTTCGCTATCAGTTTCTCTACTTGTAATAGGGTTTGTAAGCGAACAGCATGGATCCTGATCAGACTGCGCGGAACGCACTATGTTGGTTTTGTCGTGACGCGGCTCATATTATGTCTTGTGGAAACTATGCAAAATGCAAAAACATCAAGTGGACTGATACCATTGTTTATAATTAGGGCACACCTCCAATCTTTGGCAGATAAGATTTATTGCTGATTTTGTTTTTTTAAGGTGTTCTGGCTGCTAAAATACTTATTTAACTAAATGGGCTGAATTTAATTGCTCAGGTGAAAATAAATAGGCTGCATTTTCAAGATGAAATAAAGCAAAGTATAATATCTACTTTTAAAATTACTTCCAACTGTGCCAACTGCCAAGAAAGAAGAATTTTTTGCATAATTAAGGATTTATTTACAATTAGAATTGTTTTTGTTATCAGAGATAAGATGTAACCATTGCTTATTTAATTTACATGCACCAGTGCTGAAAAAGAGCTTAAGTTATTAAAGTATGAGAAGAGGTGAATCAAATTTGTGCTTTGTTTGAAAAAGAACACAAGTAATTTTAGTAGTAGAGGTGAATCAAATTTGTTGCTTCTACATATTATTCTAGCAGAAGACAAAATTATTTTTATGTAAATTAATTCAATTGTTGGCCATGCTCATTATCACCATCTTTAAGAAGCACATTTAAACAAACATTAAATTTTTGCTGTTTAAACCGGGCCATAACCTCCTGGAACTAAAAGTGTTTAGAATCTTTGCCTACACTATATAATGGACAGCTTCAAAAATTGAAGCTGGAAAAGTCAATATAAGATATTCTGCTAGTTAAGGTTAAGTTTCTAAAAAAGCTTTTCAAGATTCCTACTCAATCTGCACAATTTATTATTTGTCAATTATCATGTTTATAAATAAAATATTGTTTTAAACTAATATTTTTTCTTACATAATCAAATCTTAAAAATGTCATTATTTATATCTCATACAATCCTTTTGTTCTTAAATGTTGTATAATTCTGATCATACATACATGTATATTGATAACTTTATATAATAATATATAGAACTAGCTACATGTTCTCCAAATGTACATGTTATGTCATTGTTGTTCAGTGTTGTTTTTTTTTTCTTGTTTAGTGTGTGGAATTTCTCCCCTTGTTTGTATATTATCCATTGTGGAGCAACGCCCATATCGTAATAAAGCGTAATCACGAAGATGGCACCTTTTGGCTTCTGTAGATTCCATATTTATATGCCCTAATTTGGATGTTGCCCCAACATTAAAATATTTATGTGGTATAATACAAGGTGTCACATTATGAAAGTCAAAAACTAATTTTGGACAATTTAAAAACTTGTTTCATCACAAAGTCAATAACTTTGAAAATATGTGTCCTCAATAAACCACCATCGCTTGTTTCTGGACAGGTAGAGGTCACGTGATTTTGTCTGCCAAAATATTGTTTCGTTTTTTTTAAAGTTGTTAAGCATACATTACCATGGTGTTCAGCCCATGGATTAGGAATTTTGAGGTGCACATTTATGTTATGCACCGCAAAATCATATTTTTATGAGGTTTAAAAACCCCTCTTTAATCGTCATTTTGACAGAAAGACTACAATTGGGGGTTGGGGGTGTCTATGAAAATGCTCAAAAAGTTGTTCACTGCTCATAGGATATGGAGTTTTTCTTGTTAACTCATAGAAACTAAAGGTGTATGCTCGTTTCTGTTCGATTTTTTTGTATTCTATGTTTTTATTAACATGACAAAGCTATTTCTTTTTTAGGGAACTTGGGAAGTATTGTTTACAAGTATTTCTATTCTTTACATATCAAAGTCATTACTAGAAAATGAATAAAAGAAGATCACTGACTGCTGGGTGTCTACCTTTAAGTACTTTAAGTATTTTCAACTTCTTATGAAATTTATCTTTTATTATATTTCTTAGAGCATGCATTAAGATTGACTAGTATTTAGATTTGTTTCTCACAGAAATGTAAGTGTGTAAATCAATAAACTGAAACACTTGCACAAGATTTTGTTGAGAAATTAAGATTTCTTGCTAATTTCCCCCAACGATTCCTTTTCAAATTTCAAAAAGTAAACTGTAACGACTAATACTATTGGAATTTTTGACGTTAGTCTTAACCCTTAAACTGCTGAATTTATGGAATGGATTTGCCCAGTTTTAAATTTGGAACAGTCCGTTTGAAGTTCAAGGAATTTCATTATCAAAATACAAAAATTGAGCTACCAACAGTATAGAGTGTGTTCTAACTGATCGGAAGTGCGGGCTCAATATAATCGCTTTCAGTTCCAGCAGCTTAAGGGTTAAGATAAGCGTTTCGGCAGAACAAGCAAACATGAACTTTGAATTTGCATTGCTAAATAACCTTCTAATGACCTTTATTTCAGCATGTAAATTGTTATCCTGTAAATTGATTTCTTGAAAACAATTTTAATTTATTTTTTTTTCCAAAGATCTAGGCATGCATACATGTGTTTCGTATTGGAAGTTTTGAAATTTTTATAGGATATGTTACATCGTAGGTCATGTTTTTGGCTTGACATTTTTCTTATACATATTTCTGTTGTCTTGCTTGTTGTAGTGTCAGCAGGTACGTATAGATAGTCACATGATCAGTCACATGACCAATCACATGTCTGACACAGATATAGGACATACGTAGCCACCGCTATACACCCTTGAAATCTCGCATCCAAGATACCCCCACCCCTTTCTGCAAGCATCACTATTACTTAAATAAGTCACTGTAAAAAATTTCTTTAATACTTTCTTTTTTTTCTTGATTTATTTCTTTCATTAATTTTTCTTTCTTTTTTTTCCATTTATTTATTATCATTATTTCTTATCTATACATATTATTCATATATTATTGAAAGTAACATATACATGTCTTATACGATTGTACACTATCATAATGGATGTATTTATTATATTTTGAGCAAAGAGGAAATGTTTTTCTTGGCCATTTCTGTGAAACCTTCAGTCATTATTTAATGGTTTTGACTAAACAGACTTGCTCTGCCTCAAATTTTGAACTAGTCTAAGCCATTTTGAATATTATGCACTGCAATCAATTCAAACTATGAAAAGCCCATAACAAACTCTTTGGGAAAAAGTTGGGACTTTTAGATTACTAAACCCTTTTCTTGAGGTGACAATGATGATGATAAACAGTTGGCAAAAATCACTTCTTAAAATGCCCTTGCACAGCAGACATGTTCCTACTATTTTAGTGTTTGATAACGGGCCATCCTGGATAAATGAATGAAAAAGAAGGTCATTAAATTTAGTCAAAAGAAATTTTGTTAATAATTATGATCACAAAATTTACCAAATCTAAGTTATACTTCCAAGTATGATTGTCACAGCAACTGTTTAGAAGAAAATAATTTTGGGTCACCTTGGTGTAAAACCTTGCTGTATATTTCTAGCATTCTTGAGCATTTTTGAGTTTCAAGATGTCCAAAAAAATATGCTGGTCTGTATCCAAGAAAAATATTTTCTCTCACATTCATTTCATTCATTGTACATGTATTTTAAAAAAACAAAACAAGTAAGTATACTTTCACAATGTTAAATTTCTGTTATCTATTTTAATTGATTCAGTTACTTTCTGAATAGTTTCAAAAAGTAGAAAAAGTAGACCAAAAATCTCTTTTAGTTGCTTTTCTTTGCTCTTGACCTTTATATAAAAGAAGAAGAAGATTTTACAAACCAGAGCTGAAATGAATATCAAGTAAGAATTGTGGGTACCAGTACTTAAATTTCTCAAGACATTAATGAAGTAGTTAAAAAGATCAATTCACAGGATGCATTTATGTAAACTTAATTTGTCTGTAAGTTAGGCAAGGATGAAAAGAAGTTATTGCTGCAGATGGCAGTCTTGAGCGTATAAAAGATGCATTAAGAGTAAAATGATACAGATTACAGTGATCATTTTAGCTCTGCTATAATCCATTGCATGGTGACCTCTCAGATAAGGTCATAATACATATTCATATAAGGATATTATGATTCAACATTCTGTGCATTCCAGAACAGTTTTAAAGCAGCATGGCTCCAGGTTCATGCTAATTTTTATGAAAAGTTTGAAAATTTATTTAAAGTGACATTATGCCCATCTATAGGTATATAATGAATGAGAGAGAGGGTCAAAATAAATTTTCATTTTGCCATATTTTCTTTTGATTTAATAATTAACTTTGCATAAACGATAAATAACCACTGGATTTATACGAAATTTCAGTAAATATCTTTTAGAATTTACCTGTAATGTTCAATTTATAAAAAGAGTGGGGCAGTCTTTTTATATTTTAGGTAGATTTCATATTTTATCCTAAACATTTTCCAATATAATATGTTGGTCAAACATCATTTAAACAGTCAATCTCTTGAAATATAAAGTCAATTCAGCTCAACTCGACAATGAAAATATGAGCATAATGTCACTTTAAAACTATGTTGTGAAGTGAACACAGAAAGTAATTTACACATACAATCCTTGTATTAAAATTACCAGAAAAAGATCAAAATATGTGAATATAACTCTTTAACTGTGTTAGTCATAGAAGAAGAGATATATAATAAATACAACATTTGAATCTTGAAACTTTTTACTTTTCTTAAAGTCTGAGTACATAGTTCTCATGTTTGACTTTCTGGAAATAGTTTTTCTCATCTGGAGGCTTGCAGCTTTAAATTATGCATATGTTATCACCAGTTACATTTATATGCGACCTTTATAAGAAATGTTGTCATGGAATGGACTATGAATATATAGTATATTTCCATGAATGCTTTTATTCACAAAATTGTCTGCATTTGTTATTGTCAACAGCTGCCACGCAGAGTCAGAATCCTAACCCGTTCAATATCAAAGACAAACTGAAGAAGGCAGCTGCGGGAGGTACAGCCATGTAAGTATTCATTATTATTTATGTCTGGTTTTTAAGCGTGTTATTGCTAGAACGAATTCAAGATACCACACAATAAACGTAGATTGACCAATTCTAAGCGAAAAGACTGTTCTATTTTGGGAATATTATACATGTGATATTAACAGGCTAACCCAGTTCGGACTGAACAATTTTCTTGTTTTGCTATTATTTGGGCATTTTTGGGCCATTTGTTGAAGATTATATTTACTGTTATGACATCAGCAAATGATAAGATAGCTCAATTTCCACACAGACTGTATCATTGAATATTAGTATAATTATCATTGCGATTTATCATACAATTATCACAGTTAGCTTTAGAGCTTGGCTTCATCATTGCGACGTCTGATCAATATCATAGGGATAATTATATGTATATTTAATTGTTGTTTGTACATTTATATCAGACATTTCACCAGACCTTTCTTCTGGAGTGTTATATCTCTTTCACATTGTTTGTGACGATTAAGAATATATTTTCTGAAAGGTTTCTTTTATTTTAAATCATATATATTTTTCTACTATATTTTGTTATCTCGTTTTACATGTAGAGATATGTCTCTAGGTCACCTGACGAAGGCTTGATGGATTCGCTCTTTGATCATATTATGATAAATTCAGAAATGAGCATCCGCGCAGTCTGATCAGGATCCATGCTGTTCGCTATCAGTTTCTTTACTTGTTATAGGGTCTGTAAGCGAACAGCATGGATCCTGATCAGACTGCGCGTATGCACAGGCTGATCTGGATCCATGCTGGTCGCAAACGCGCTATGTTGGTTTCGTCGTGACATGGCTCAAATATGCCTTAATAGTTTTGATACCTGACTAAGTCTCTTTTATTCTAAAATTTTGATTGTTTAGGGAGCGGTGAATTTCTTTTTAATGATTTTTAACTTGTGTTGTAATATAAGTGAAAAAAATTGTGTTGATTGTAATAAAATTGTACAAGAAATGCGAGATGTGAACGTATTTCAGTGAAGATGAGACGGCTAAGGAAAAATGGATACGTACAGCAACTAAGATACACCGTCTATCAATGTAAACCCCACCCCCATCAGGCATGACCACGCCTCTTAAATGCCTCTTTTTTAACCACACCCATTTGAATACTTTTTTTTTTTGCAGTGTCAAATTCAACTAAATGTGAAAGTTTTTTAGACCCAGATGAGCTTTACATGGTCACAGCTAATGTCAATTAAGTTTGCTTTATTTTGGAATAACTTAATAGCATGCCTGGGAATAACTTCATTTTTTGACATTCTGTTCTTCATTTAGTTATATTATGCTACTGTTAAATGAACAATTAAATGTCAAATTATTTAATCTATTAAGAGTGAATGTTGACATTGTTGATTTACTGTCATATTTAAAAGTGTTGGTCTGGTTACAGTTAAAGATACATTGTTCAGTAAGATAGTACAGTTTGGAGCTTTGCCATGGCAGAAAATCTATATACGACTTGACAATTTATTGCACATCAACTCTTACCCTGCTAAATTTGTTAAATGGACTTGTCCTGCTTTGATATTGGAACATTCCATTGTTAAATTAAAGGTTTTTTTTGTGAAATTCTAAAAATAGGCAGCCAACAGTATAGAGCATGGTTAACCTGCATGATTGTGCAGGCTGGTCTAACTAAACTAGTGGCATAGGTTTGTTATTTACTGCGGCTGGCACCGTTAGAATGTCATACCAAAGTCTGAGCCTCTACCCAAAAGATATATTTAAATGTTGGTCTTTTACTGAAATTGCCACATGAAAAATAAAAAGAACATTGAAGTAACTCCTCTGAGGTTTTTTATGAGAATTGTTTTGTTTTAAATTCTGTTCTGGTGGGGGGGGGGGTTTTTTTTTATAGAATTTGGTGTGTTCTTTGCAAAATTTGGTTTTGTTTTAATTTGTTTTGAATTTCAGTAAGAAAAATAAAAAGAGGAAAACTTTGGAGCCAATTGAGTGGTGAACATCATCTGTTGATATATATATATATATATTGATATAATACAGGACTTCTAAACTGGTCTTCTCAATGCATTACAAAATTTATATATAATTATGTACAATATACTAGAATTTCTTAAACATTTGTAATGAAGATTTTATGAAACAAAAGATGCAATGGGAAAATTGTTTAGCAGTTCTGAATTAGTCACATGTATTCATTTAATAAAATGCATTCATGTTGCAAGAATCTATCCATAGAAAAGTCTGAAAAAATGACCTTTCCATCAATGTTGGTACAAAAACATGTATAATTTTGAGTTGTTCAATTATTCAGGCTCGTCTTTTAGCAGCTAATCTATTTAGGACTTATTTGGGGCTGTCAGTTGTTACAGGCACCCCTATGTGTAAAATAATATAGTTACTTTGCTAGCAGCTTACAGTCACTCAGTGTCTGGTTGCTTGTCTCAGTGAGGAGAGCACCAGAGCTTGGATCTTCCGCCACCAGTAAAGCTAGAAAGTAACCATTTGACCATGACCTTATGTGGAGGTGATTTGACCTTTAACCTGCTGAATTTCTTAAAAGGACTTGCCCAGCTTCCATTTCGGGACTGTCCATTGTCAAATTTGATGATATCACAAGAAAAAATTTAAGTCCAACAGGCAACTGTACAAAGTATGGTCAGGCTGACCTGGTTCTATTCTTGTAACAAATGTTTATAACTTTGCTTCATAAAATATAACAAAAAAACAACAACAACAAAAATCTGAGAAATTGTAGCATTGGCCAACGCATTCTAAGTAAAGTGAAATTATACATTGTCTGAAAAAGTACACAGTAATATATATTTCAGGAAAGGTCATTTATACGTAGATCAGACTATAGTTCATTAATAAATAATGAATTAACTAAGATGTATGTATAGCAATCTCATGTACTAAATTGTAACCTATTTAGACTATATTCATATAGGGGTTTTTCTTTGTTGTGTATGAAGTAACAGAGATAAACAGTGAGTGTCCTATATTTATATATAGGTCTATATATAAGTCATTCCTTGTCATTGACTGAAAATTAGTTTGTGCTTTGTGTACCTTAGTAACAGATTGATAGTCGAATGACTATAAATTATCAGGAAACTAATATGAATAATAGAATATAGAATAATAGATTCAGGCTCCATATATATAGAATGTTCTGGAAATTTTGTGCAAGGACAAAAATAAAATGTAATTGACTTTGTGGACAAAGACATATGAGATGGAAATGGCATGCAACAAAATCATTATGTAAAGGAAATCTAATGACAATTTTAGTTATATAATGTAATTGGAAAAGTAATGTAATGAAACCTTATTGTAACAGATGGCATTTTGTATTTAAAATTGATCACATTTGAATGTAATCTACTGCAAGCTCTAATACAAATGTTAAGAACAAAATAATACGGCAATTAAATTTATCATTTTCAAAATCACTCTGTTATACCATTATTGTTGAAAATAACTCTGTTATACCACATTATGATTGAAAATAACTCTGTTATACCGACATATTGTTGAAAATAACTCTGTTATATCACATAATGTTGAAAATAACTCTGTTATACCACATATTGTTGAAAATAACTCTGTTATACCACATATTGTTGAAAATAACTCTGTTATACCACATTATGGTTGAAAATAACTCTGTTATACCACATAATTTTGAAAACAACTTAGTTATACCACATATTGTTGGAACAAGAGCGATCAGTAATCACATGTGTCGCCTCATGATGGCCAATTTTATGTTGGGACAAGTTTTGTGACAGACGGACAGACAGACGGACAGTGCACAACTAGACTTGGTATTGATCATTCCTGTAAAGTTTGGATAAAATTGCACCAGTAGTTTATGAGGAGTAGTCCGGACAAGCTGTTGTGTATCTGGCAACACACAGAAAAAAACACCTTTTTATCAAAGGGCCATAACTCGGCCAAAATCATTCAACCGGAAAACCCGTGCAATATGCGCAAGGACTTGAGCTAAAGATCAATCCTGTAAAGTTTCATTGAAATTGCATTAGTGGTATAAGAGAAGTAGTCCGGACAAACTTTAAAAATAAAAATAATTAAAGGGCCATAACTCTGACAAAAATCATTGAACCGGAAAATACTGACAATACGCACAACTAGACTTGGTACTGATCATTCCTGTAAAGTTTGGATGAAATTGCACCAGTAGTTTTTGAGGAGTAGTCCGGACAAGATTTTGTGTATCCGGCAACACACAGAAAAAAACACCTTTTTATCAAAGGGCCATAACTCGGCCAAAAATCATTTAACCGGAAAACCCTTGCAAAATGCACAAGGACTTGAGCTACAGATCAATCCTGTAAAGTTTCATTGAAATTGCATTAGTGGTATAAGAGAAGTAGTCCGGACAAACTTTAAAAATAAAAATTATTAAAGGGCCATAACTCTGACAAAAATCATTGAACTGGAAAATGCTGACAATATGCACAACTAGACTTGGTACTGATCATTCCTGTAAAGTTTGGATGAAATTGCACCAGTAGTTTATGAGGAGTAGTCCGGACAAGTTTTGTGACGGACAGACAGACGGACGGACAGACGACGGAGAAGTGATCCCTATATGTCGCCACTACTCCGTAGAGGCGACACAAAAATGATATTAGATAATTTAATACATGCCCATGTGTATAGTGAGTGGAGAATAATTTTACCTGAAATTCTTGTCGACTGTTTTGTACTCTTTCTTTGCATTCTTTTAACTAACAACTTTTTTCTGAATAAAGAAACAACATGAATGCATCAAATAACATTTGAAATGAATCGATTTGAATTGCTGTGTGGCTTCTTAACCCTGACTTTATTGTACTAATATGCTCCACATTTTGTAGATATCAATCAATTAACACTAGGTATATAGTTCTTGTTCAATAATTATAGTCTTTATAAAAGAAGGTCACAAACACTTAGAAAAATAACACTTAGAGGTGTATAATCACCACATGCTGTTCTTTAACTAATTTATTTTCTAGTTTATACTTTATACACTGTTAACCGTTTTCAAATTCTTAGAGTGTCAATAATTATGACAAATGTAGATATAACTTAAAATAGAAGTTCATCTTGAGTAAGACATTTACAACAGTTGAACACATATAATATGATATCCTTCACTGAAATCACATATAAAATGTCATACTTACAACTATTTATTAAAGATATTAAAGCAACAATGTACATGTAACTGACTTTTTATCACCATAAATTTCAATGACAAATAAAAATGTTCCCTTTAAGGTTTTCATATCTAGAATTTATTTTTGTTTGATCATAAGCTTATAGACATACTCTCAAAAAGTTTTCTTTATGTTGTCCTTATTTGGAAAGAAAGTTGTCCATGAAAGCTTGGTCAGCAAGTCATTCGGTAAAAAAATGAAACTACTCTTTTTAGGTTTTCTATCTGTAGTCAATATTTGGATGTGATCTTTGGCTTGCATTTGATTTATTTAGATTAATCTAGATGTAACATTCGGTTTATTTAGATAAATCTAGATGAGGAACATTTTAGATCATAGGGATCAATATGCTCCCTTAATTACTCTTCATGTAGCTGTTGTAAATTTTCCATACTTTAGGATATATAGTTATGATTCTTGTAGAAAATGACAATCCATATTTTTATCTGGAGATTATTTGGAAAATAAATAATAATGATATTTTGAGACGATGATTTCACTTACGAGATGTTATAATTATCTGTAATATGATAAAAGTATTCCCCCTTTAACAGATGTATGATAGAAATGCTACAGTATTCCCAGTTGTTTGATACAATGGATTTAGTTTATTATATTAGTGAAGCAAGATAGTATTTCTAGCTTCATATAAAACTTTCACAGTATGTGTAAATACAAAAAAAAAAAAAAATGTAACTCTGCTGATATATTGTCAAAATGGTTTTGATTCTTAGGTCATTGGTATACTATTAAAGTATGTTTTATTTGAATATTAGATCTATGACAGCATGAAACACTTTGAGACTTTCCACTCATACTCCGACAACGTCAAAATATGAAACCATTAAGATTTCAAAAGTTTATTTAAGTGGTGTATCAAAATGATTTAATTTAAGTGTTTCATTTTGTATTTTTACAAGTTCATCATTTGAATCAGGCAATTTTACGTCACCTAAGTGCAGTAACAGCATAAGTCCTTCTTTATTTAATAGGAGTTACCCAGTTATTGCACTAAGCTGAAAAATAGTTAATTACTCGCTTTACATTTTATCACTGTCATTGTCTGACTGGAGAACTTTTTACTATTATTTAGGCCAACAAGCCCTAGCAAGGCTGTTTTACCAGCGATGGAGAAAGAAAACCCCGACGTTCCACCAGCTCCATGGAACATGTCCTCCGAGAAGTCAGATGAACCACGCAAGTTTGATTCTACCGGCATGTTTCATTGGTGTCCTGGAAGACCTATAGAGGAAGCCATCATGGTATGTTGAATTCTGGGTGGGCATGTTTGAGATATTTTTGAATTCTCAGTGCCATTTGTCCCTTTGAATATGAGCTTAAAACAGATAGCCAGTATTCTATCAGTGTTTGGTTTGATCTACATGATGTACAGTAATAGTTTTTGTTTCTATCCACATTTAATTAACAGTTTTATTCCATAACCTGCTGAATTTGTGTAATGGATTCCCATTCTTTGAATTTGGAACAGTCCATTTAGGCACAGGCCTACAAGTAGGTCAAGAAATTTACATTTTCAAAGTCCCAAAAATACAATAAAAACAGGCGAGGGTGGAGTTGGTAGTGGGTTCAAGCCATATAGTCGAATCAAGTGTGTGTGCATGATTTACCATCCTCAGTAAAGTTTGCATCCAATCGAATTCGAATCGAATCATAGTTTAAAATTATTGTTTTCATAATTTTCCTTGAACATACTTTGGAACGCGCATTTTGCTCTTTTTAATCTGAACTTGTTTTTGGCTTGTAGGGGCTCAGCCCCCAAACCCCCCTTTTATGTGCCTACAAGTTGAAAAAAGCTGGCTCGTTGACCAATGAAAATCCTGAGATTTTAGAAAGAACTCAGAAAATATGATTATAATATCAAGGCCTGGTCAGACTGCATAGAAGTGTAGCAAAAGATAATCATTTTCAGTTCCAGCAGACTTTAGGGCTAAACTTTTACAATATTTCCTAATTCTGGTATCTTCAACATATATATTCATATAAAGAAATATTCAGACATGATTTGTATTAAGTTATCATCAGTTTTCCTAGTTCCTATAAATAAAGAATGCTTATTATTTAGATTTATTCCATGCATGAGACATTCTGATCTCATGACTGATAATATTATTAGGCTGTGTAAGGAGCAAGCAAATCTATTTGAATATTCATGGTCTGTGAATAAATTAATTTTTTTGTTAATTCTTACCACGGTAAATGTCTTAGATTGACTCATCCATCTTCCAAAAATGACATATTTTTACGAAAAATATCAAAATATTTATGGATGAAATAGTGAACAGTGCAGTTAAATGAAATGCCAATTAATTTTGGTTTTCATTGATTGCATACACTGTAGGTATATTCCATAGCCACCAGCTGGCTGAAAGATTTTTAGTGAATAAACAAATAAAATTTACTCTGACAGTACTAAGTATATGTACAAAGTTTATAAGAATTGAAATATATTGCTGATAATCAGTGTGTTATCAAAATGTTTAGTACGCAAATTGATCAGCTTTTCTTTAAAGTTTGGGTATATGAAACTTTACTATAAATAAAACTTTACTTATATAATTCATGCATTAGTTTAAAATACAATGTATACAAGTTCATCCTAGAAAATGTCAAAAATATGTAGCTTACCTGAATTTAGTAATAACATAATTATAATATTCTTTACTTGCAGGACCGTAACAAAGCTGCATTGACCGTTCTATGCAATCATGTAGTGGTATGTTTATTTGCGGACGCCACATCACCGTTGATAGGTTTGAGAAATTTAGTCATGCCACTGAGAGCTAGCAACTTTCACTATAACGAACTGAAACATGTCGTCATAGTTGGTAACCTAGACTACCTTCACAGAGAATGGAAAACGGTTCAAAACTTCCCCAAAGTTTGCATCCTTCCTGTAAGTACAATAAAGTTGCCTCCGCCATGCTGAATTTATGTAAAGGACTTGGAAATTGATCATCGAAATTGAGTCTAATGGTCATTTGTCTCTCACCGCTGATTTAGAAATCATGCAAGATTACAAGTAATGATTTACATGTTGTGTGCAATTTATGCTTCAATTTGCAGTAATTGCTAGCCTATCTGAAGGCTATTTTTGCATGTTTTGACCTCTTTTTGGTAATTTATGTGGATTATAAGTGCTATTTGCTATGTGCAAATACTTTATTTGTTCTCTTCACAATATTTAATTTTTAAATGCATTTTTAAAATTTTCATGAATATTAGCATGAATCTGGAGGCATGCTGCTTTAAGATTAATTATAATTATTACATAATTTCAGGGATCACCATTAAATAGAGCTAATTTACGAGCAGTGAACATCAACTTGTGTGATATGTGTGTGATATTGTCAGCCAAGGACCGTAACCTTGACGACCCTCATCTGGTTGACAAGGAAGCCATTCTTTGTTCACTTAATATAAAGGCAATGACATTTGATGACAGTGTTGGTCTTATACAGTCATCATCTCCAAATAGTCCCGGCAATGCATTAGGTGAGCATATTTTAAATACATCTTTTAAATGCAAATTTTAATGGTACCTGCTATATTGTTTATATTGGATTTGCCCTGGTTTGAATTCGGAACAGGGTTCAAGGTTATAGAGAACTTTTCCAAGCTCAAAGACAGCTTTCAGAAATTTGATTGGCCAGTAGCAATCACAGAATGTGCACTGACCAATGAAAATCCTGAAATATGAGACATAAATCAGAAAATGAATTTCAGAATTCAAGCCTAGTCCATTATAAATTTATGGGATTTCAATATGAATATACAATGTATTAATATTGAGCAACAACGAGTCTTGTCAGACAGTATAAATGCTAGCATTCAAAGTGCTAAAAACCAGAGTGAATTCAAACCATTGCTTATCATTTATCAGTGTGAATCTATTTCAATCGTTCTTCACATATGAGTGCACACCTACCTGGGTTATAAAAAATTTATATCCTGACAAATGCATTTGGTAATCAATTTTTAGCTTTGATGTTGCATTAATTATGAATCCAAAGGTCTTTCTACTGTCTACAAGTCTAAACTTGGCCAAAATACCTGTATCATTGAGCTAAATTTATACAAATAATAAAGATTATCATAACCTATGTAATACTGTATTTTCAGATTTTCTGCCACCTGGTTTTATGCAGGTAAGCAGCCCATCCAAAACATCGAGAAGGGGATCAGCATGTGGCTCAAATGTTCCCCTTATTACAGAACTTGGTAAATATTATGTTTTCTTTTGATATTCCGCTTATTTCTGAACTTGGTAAACTTCCTATGTTCTTAAAATGATTCTTATGATTTTCTAGTCACAGAACTTAATAAAAATTTTATTACAATAATAAATTGTTTGTTTGATAAATTTATTATATTTTGATATAGCCACCTGAACAAGTAACTGTAACTCATAGTTCCAGAAATAACCACTAGATCTTTAATAAGCATAGATGTAAAGCACTAAGATATTAGATATTTTGGTTCCATGTCCCATTCAAAAGACTTAGGTGGGTGTAAAATTCTAACCCTTGGATTTGTATTCAAACAATGAAACTTATTTGGCCTTGCAACTGGCTTAATAATTTAGATTAAAAGGGAAACAAATAACTTTTGATAATTCAAAAAGTACAGTTGAACTTGAGCTAACAGCCATATAATGGTATCCTGCCAACAACTGTCAACACAGAATTTTCTTCTTTGAAAATCCATATATAAATGGGCATTTCAAGAGGTCAATGGTGTCTGAGGCAGGATGCTATTCGGTTAAAGATCTTATTTATATTCTTGATGTTTTGTGTTTGAATCCCAAATATGAGTTAAAGTGTAGCTTTTGTTTCTGTGTACAAAATATAAAACAAAAGAAACAGAAGCAGACTTCTACATTTTAATTGTAATTGAAATGAATTATTGAAAAATCTCAGACACTAATGTAATTTGCAATTTCTAAATGTAAGATATATAAATATTTGGCTTGGTATCTTTCAGCAAATGACTCAAATGTACAATTCTTGGATCAAGATGATGAGGACGATCCAGATACAGAATTATACATGACCCAACCTTTTGCTTGTGGTACAGCTTTTGCTGTTAGTGTACTTGACTCACTTATGAGCACAGTAAGTATAGCAGTCGATTCTCATCATTTTTCTAGCCAGCTCATAACTAGGTCAGTAGGGCAAAACAACTAGGTCAGTAGGGAAAAAAAACTAGGTCAGTAGGGCAAAAAACTAGGTTAATATAACAAATAAATAGGCCATTAAGGCAAAAAACTAGGTCAGAAAGTAAATAACTAGGTCAGTAGGGCAAATAACTAGGTCAGTAGAGTGAATAGTGTGAATAAGTAGGCAGGAACTTAGTTGAGAGTTAGGTTGAATAAGGTTCACAGCTAAGCAAATTACTAATATAGACCATCGCATGTTTCGCATAGAAGTTTTCAATTACTTTGGGGAATGATAATATTATTTAGGTACACAGGATATATCTGACTATATGTACACTTGTAGATAACATATGTTTGTCTATTATATAAATGTTGTTACAACTAAACTTAATCTCAGTCCATTCAAGCATGTTAAATGCTTTCTCTTATCTTTATTATTCCTCTAAAGTTTGTTTTCCAAAATGAAAAAGTAAATGCTAGAAAAGCTCCAGAAATGTGTGAAAATGCCCAATTTTATATCTACGTGTACTAGACTATACTTTTTTGTACGTCCAGCTACACTTTCATAATTAAGTATTATCTATTATTTTATTATTTATTTACACTTCTTTTAGAAATATGATGTTTAAAATATTTGTGAGTAAGTCCTTAAGGCTTAACATTTTTCTAAAAAAGTAAAATAAAACTATGATATATTCTCAGCCTGTTAAAATTCGACTATTGGTAATGAATTCATTTTGTTTTGTAGAGTTACTTCAACGACAATGCATTGACTCTAATTAGAACATTAATAACTGGTGGAGCTACACCTGAGTTAGAGCAGATATTGGCTGAGGGGGCAGGTATGAGAGGAGGTTACTGCACGCCCGCTGTTCTTGCTAACAGGGATAGATGTAGAGTTGCTCAAGTCTCATTGTTTGATGGACCACTAGCGCAATTTGGGGTATGGCATAATTTATATGTATTAATTTAAAAAAAAACAACATGATTTGCAAGTAACATTTGATATTGCAAAATTGTTCTTGATTGATAATTTCATGATTTTATTAGCTTTAAATGTACATGTTTGTAGGTTTATTACAATGTAATGCCTTGTGAGGAAATTATTCAGGTATGTGTTGCAAATACACAGAGCGGTGTAAGGGATTTTCCACAGTTTTAAAGCTAAAGTCAGGGCGCTGACTTCAGACCCCTTGCCCCTTACTTCTCTGGATTTGAATCCCCGTCAGAGACTTTGAAATCTTTTATGTGAGAAAGCCTTCCAGCTTGCTTATAAATGATTGATTGATGCTTCTACCTAAATACCTGCTTGTGCTTGAAAGAATAATCTGAGGGGCACTTAAAGTCTTACTCCACCTGTACAAATGGAAAGTCACAGTAGAATCTTTTCTGTGTTTGTGTGCAGATAAATAGAATTAAATTAAATGTTCCCGTATTATTTTTATAGTATCAATGTGAAAAACATATCAAGAAACATTTCTATTAAGCAGTTTGATATTCATTTGTTTTACAGGAAGGTGGTACCTATGGTAACCTATTTGTACATGCACTAAGAAACCAGGGTGTTCTGTGTATTGGTCTGTATAGGTTTCGTGATACGAATGCAACAGAAAAGAGTCCCTCATCAAAACGTTATGTGATAGCTAACCCTCCGGAAGATTTCAAATTGCTCCCTACTGATCAGGTAAAACAAATGTTGAAAATTGAAATTTTTTTCTTTCTATTTAACATTTTCATAGAAAAGCTTAAATTTTGCATAAGAAGTTAAAAAGCACTGTTAAAAAATGGCTACTTTTGTTTGTTAACTGTCCTAGAATTCTAAATTTCTTATTGATATAGGTACATGCAGATTAAATTGTGAAACTTTATGTATCTTTATTCAAATAATTAACACATTTACAAGGATCATTTTCAGTAAATATTGAAGAATGTTTTCAAAACTGTTTTGTAAGGTATACCAAAATGTTTTCGAAAAAGTGTTTTATTTGGTTTTAATAAAAAATTCATTTCTACATTTACTTGTGATATTTAGGACCTTCAAGCAATTGGAAATTATTGATAGAAATTTTTGTTTGGGCTTTCTTATGAAAACAATATAGATAAATATAAAGTAGCCATTTTAAACAGAAGAATTAAATTAGATCACATTACTTTATGATTTACATGTAACAAAAATTAATACAATTACTGATATTGGTTTCAGAACCACTTGATAAAAGTTAACATATATTTTTCCATCATAAACATAATACATATATAAATAAACATTTCCAAATGTTACATGTTCATTATAAGTAATGGATTTTATTTTTTCCGTAATAAACAAACTGGTTATATAGACACACTAGATAAAAACAAGTGAAGTTAGCAATGTGTATGTTGTTTATCAAACATTTACTCTTGTGCACCAATCCTAACAGCATGTCTGTAAAACAAACTTTTCACTTTTATAATAACTTTTATTGCTTGATGGATTAGCAGTTTTTGAATTCTCTGTTTAACCCAATAAAGCTGAAAGCTCTGTTGAGTTATTGTGATCACTGATGATCCGCTGACCTTGGTTTCTTTAATTGTTACCATGCTAAAATCGTTTCTTTAATTGTAACCATGCTAAAATCGTTTCTTTAATTGTTATTACTCTAAAATGGTTTCTTTAATTGTTACCGCCTCCGTGGTCGAGGGGTTAGAGTCGATGACTTCTAATCCAGTTACCTCTCTGGCGTGGGTTCGATCCCCCGGAGATGCTTTGGTAGTTTAGCACGGAGGAAGGTAGTCTAGTACTGGTGTAACTCTCCAGGAACGATGGTTAGGAAACTACCCGCCTATATGACTGAAATACTGTTGGGAAAAGGCGTAAAATTAAACAAACAAACAAACAAACTTTAATTGTTACCATACTTAAATGGTTTCTTTAATTATTACCATGCTAAAAATGCTTTCTCTTATTGTTACCATGCTAAAATGGTTTCTTTAATGGTTACCACACTAAAATGGTTTCTTTAATTGTTACCAGACTAAAATGGTTTCTTTAATTGTAACCACGCTAAATTGTTACCATGCTAAAATGGTTTCTTTAATTGTTACCTTGCTTATATGGTTTCTTTAATTGTTACCACACTAAAATGGTTTCTTTAATTGTTACCATGCTAAAATGGTTTCTTTAATTGTAACCACGCTAAATTGTTACCATGCTAAAATGGTTTCTTTAATTGTTACCTTGCTTATATGGTTTCTTTAATTGTTACCACACTAAATTGGTTTCTTTAATTGTTACCATGCTAAAATGGTTTCTTTAATTGTAACCACGCTAAATTGTTACTATGCTAAAATGGTTTCTTTAATTGTTACCTTGCTTATATGGTTTCTTTAATTGTTACCACACTAAAATGGTTTCTTTAATTGTTACCAGACTAAAATGGTTTCTTTAATTGTTACCAGACTAAAATGGTTTCTTTAATTGTAACCACGCTAAATTGTTACCTTGCTTATATGGTTTCTTTAATTGTTACCTTGCTTATATGGTTTCTTTAATTGTTACCTTGCTTATATGGTTTCTTTAATTGTTACCACGCTTAAATGGTTTCTTTAATTGTTACCTTGCTTATATGGTTTCTTTAATTGTTACCTTGCTTATATGGTTTCTTTAATTGTTACCATGCTAAAATGGTTTCTTTAATTGTTACCTTGCTTATATGGTTTCTTTAATTGTTACCACACTAAAATGGTTTCTTTAATTGTTACCATGCTAAAATGGTTTCTTTAATTGTTACCTTGCTTATATGGTTTCTTTAATTGTTACCTTGCTTATATGGTTTCTTTAATTGTTACCATGCTAAAATGGTTTCTTTAATTGTTACCTTGCTTATATGGTTTCTTTAATTGTTACCTTGCTTATATGGTTTCTTTAATTGTTACCATGCTAAAATGGTTTCTTTAATTGTTACCTTGCTTATATGGTTTCTTTAATTGTTACCACACTAAAATGGTTTCTTTAATTGTTACCCCCCTAAAATAGTTTCTTTAATTGTTAAAACTCTAAAATGGATTCTTTACTTGTTACCACGCTAAATATCATAATTTGACTTGTCCATCTTTCAATCTTGACAAAAAACATTCTTTCGGGAAACATTTTAAAATAAGTACTGACTGAATTGCAAACAGTGCCAGACCATGATCACAGATGGCATGGTGTGATTGGTGATTAGGTTGAAGATAATTTGTCAAGTGACAAGTAATCTAAGGATTGCTGGCATGGGTTCAAACACTGTCAGGGACAAGCTATTGTTTCCATGAGCAAGAAAGTTTGCTCTCATTGCTTGGTACTGCTAGGAATTGATTAAAGAGTGTTTCAATAAACTTATAGGTTCCGACACAATCAAACTAAAATTAATTCTAAACTAACTGTAAAGTTCTCTGGAAGAAAAATACTGATAGGTAATTTTCTCCTATACATTTGTAATACAGTAGTCGGAAACATTGTTTTAGGCAACTGCCCATCAGTATAAATTATGACAATCATGTATATTTTAAATTCTTCTTGTTCTTTTTGATACATATTGTTAAATATATTAACATACTCAGGTGAGCTTACCAAGACCAGTTGGTCTTCTTGTTATATAAATTATATGCATAAATGAATCTGGTTTAATTTGATCTTGACATAATAATATTTTAGTACTCTTTATCATTAAAATTTCTTCTAAAAATAACAGTTTCAATGCACAAGTTTATATTTTCTGGAAATGTTCTCTTATATGCTTTTAATGACTCCCAGAATATTTTGTTACTGTAATATTTATATTTTATGGTTATGCACAGCTTAATTGGTTTTGAGTAAAAAATTAACCCAGGTTCATTAGTTATTGAATTTTCTCTTTTTAAATGAAATAAAAAAACAACTGCAATTGATTGAAGTGTTAACTAACATTATGTTTTTCTGTTTTCCCCGGGCAGGTGTTTTGTCTAATGCCCTGTAATCTATCTAAAAGTTCCAACTCCTTACCAAATGGGAATGATAAAAGTAAGGACAGACCGTGCATGTATCAACCTTTCCCCTCGCCTTTATATCATACTCTGCTTGCGTACTGCAGTATTCATAACCCATCTTGATACCTTAACCTGCTGAAATTTCTTAAATGGACTTGTCCAGCTTCCATTTTTGGAACTGTCCATTATCAATTTAGGGGAATTATTATCAGAATAGAATGAAAATTTAAGGTAAGTCAGCTACCAGTATAGACGATGGGCAGACTGGTGGCAACGGCTAATTCACTTTCGGTACAAGCAGGATAAAGGTTATACTATACAAAATAATCTCTTTTTTTTCTCGGTTTTATAAAATGTAGATGAGTTGAAGTAATGAATTTGTCAAGAATAGTAAAAAATGAATTCTTCTCGGTTTTTAGCTTTATGATTCTTAAGCTTTACGATTTTAAAAGATAATATAAATTTATGAATTTGCAATTCAAGTTGTCAAAATCTTAATAATATTTTATTGCATTTCTTCCTAGAATGAAAAAAAACAAACTAAAATATTACTGTTTCTCGGAAAAAGAAATATTTCATAGTCTGGAAATTATTTCTGTACTTCATGTCAGACCATCTTAAATCAAAATACAGAACTGCTATTTTTATCCTGAGCTTCCTGATTTATTCATGAAACAGAATTAACAATTATGTTAATTCTAAGTCCCCTGTTTGTTATATTGATGGAAAAACGTTCAGAAGTTATAAGTGATCTGATGGGAAGGTATGAATATTGCAGTGTGCGTTTTTGGCATTTCAGTTTCTCGTATTCTGTGGTCAGAAACATCGGAATATTGTAGTTGAAGTGGTTATATTATATGCATCATGTCATCCAATATGATATTATAATAATGATGTAGCTTTATATAAAATATATTAACCTTAACCTGCTGAATTTCTTAAATGGACTTGTCCAGCTTCCATTTGGAACTGTTCATTATCAATTTTGGGGAGATTGGGATGAAAATAAAAAAAATTGTAAGGGGAATAAGATTTTAAGTCAGCCAACAGTTTCTTGCATCTCAGACAGGATTATCTACCGTTTACACCGGTGCTAGAAAACTCTGTCTTACACCCCCCATGTAAGGAAAGTGGCGTGCTTTAAATGACGTCATTGATGAGCGCCTTTTATGAATGAATCGCTTTCTTAAGATGACGTCATTTTTCCGTTATATGTTCATACGCTACTATAAGAAAAAAGTGCGTAATGAGAATATCAGTTTTCATAATTTCTGTTCCGAAAATAATTGACATGTAATATGCAATAAAAAGAATCAAACACCGGCTGTCGGTACCGACGGGAATATCTAGCTCTCGGGTAACTGTTTAGTGGAAACTCGGCAGACCCAGCCTCGTTACCGCTGTAAACAGTTGCCCTCGAGCTAGATATTCCGGTCTGTACAGGCAGCCGGTGTAAGATTCTTGTTATAGAGCCTTGTCAGACTGCATGGATGTGCCGGCTGACCTGGTTCTATACTGGAGGCAAATGCTTATCAGTTTCAATTCCAGCAGGGTGAGGGATAAAGAAATATCGATCCTATAGGAAGCATGTAGACAATGTCAAGTAAAAAAAACTGTTCTATATGATTTAAATTACAGCAAAAATAGACTATAATTCTTTTAAGACATTTCTTTATTTGTATTGATTAGATAATAAAAAATTAAATCTGTGTGAGATATTAAGAAACATTGAAATATATATTTAAGAAGTTAAACATTCCATACTGCCTAAATTCATTACCGGTATGTAACAATAGGTGACGTCTGAATGAAATTTGTTTCAGTTTCTTATACATGTATATACTTATTCTTTTTATGACAATAGACTGATTCAGTAATTTAGCAAACCCTCTTATTTTTATCAAATAGAACATTTTTCACTTGACAAGATCATGTATGATACCCTAATACATGTATATTATAACCTATATATATTTTAAAACGTCCCAATATTTAAACGCCACATGTTATAATTTGGTAAACATTACATCTATTATTTTTTCCTTTGTTTCACTTTCCAGAATCTTTTAAACATGTTGGGGAGTGGGGGGGGGGGGGGGGATTGGAAGATGTTTGAATAATATTTGTGTTATATTGGATATGAAAAATAACAAATATGAAAATATTATGATGAAAAAAACCTATTCTTTTGCATTTCTTGAAATTCAAATATGATTTATGTGAAATTGATTCTATCGGCAAATTGTGATTTTTGTAAAAAATAAAGAGTAAAGGAATGACATTGATGATTCATTATAACTGCAGTATTCCCAACAGTCACGTCAAATCACCATTAGTGCATTTTCAAACAGCTTTAGCACAATGTTTATATGTTTTTCAGGGAAAATTTTTAAAAAAGAAAGAATTTGTCATATTGGTCACATTTCATATAATTTATACATAACATGACAAACTAATTTTTCATTTATAATGTACTGTATTATTGACACTGCGTCTAATATTTTATATTGTTATCTTTTCCATATCTGCAAGCATTGATTTTCCTTATATTTTTAGGGTATAGTTCTGAATATGATATCTTTGGGGGATATTTTACTTCTGAATATGATATATTTTGGGGGGATACTTAAGTTCTGAATATGATATATTTTGGGGTATTTATATTCCTATATTATACCTTACATAAATGACGGCAATATTATGTTTTTGTCAGACCGATTAAAATTTTAGCAGCGTATAAGTGTGGGGAATATTTTACAAATTAAACGCTTTAATGTACAAGCAGACTAACAAAAATTTCTGTCCTTTAAATTATATTAAATTATGATATTAAAAAGTACATGTATGAGTTTATTTCTTGTAGAACTTTTACCATTTTGTTCTAGTAATGTGCGATATAATGTAAAGAATAACACACAGTACTTTGGACCTTATAGCATTATATTGATCGCCAAGTCGGCTCCAAACATTGAACGAATCTCAGTTTACAATGTTTTTAGGCCAACTGATTGGTCAGTACATACTATGAGGCCCTTAGTGTTGTGAACAATTTCTGAATCTTGACTGGGAAGTTTATTCATCATACTAGAATTGCCCGTAAATGTTACTTAAAAATTTGGGAAAATTGTGGCACTTGAAGAGCCTACACACCAATTAAGAAGCAAGAATAATGTCATAAAAGAAAACCAGAAGCTATGTTTTTGTCTGGTGGTTACTAAGTAAAATCAGTGCATGCGTTATAAAAACTGAAAATGAATAATGATGCAAATCTTTTTTTTCTGTAATTAGAAGAAAATTTATAAATGTCATAATTTGAATATAAAATTTGGTATTTTTAGTGGTAAATAATTTTTTTAAACAGAAGAAAAAAATATGACATAAACTGGATATTATGCTTTTGCTATGTGATAGTTAAATCTGTTTATACTATACCAAAGCAAAGCAAAACATATGTACCGATATAATATTGCAGTTAGAAATTATTTTCATACAAAATCTGATTTATTTTCTTATTGACAAATATTTTGAGCTTGATGGGGAATGCCAATGTATAAGACTAGAGGGTACCACTTACCTTTGTTTTAAATCTTGGGTAATATAATTTAGTTAATTAAATTTGGTTGGGGAAAGGTGCGGATCAGTCGGGTTAGTGCCAGTCTATTTGACTTGGTACCCTGGTTTGTAGCCTCGTGTGTGTGTGTGTGTGTGAATTTTAAATGGAAGTTGTTTTTTTATGTAGCAAAATTTGTTAACATTGTAGTTGTAATTCCAACATAGTGATAATGCATTGATATTTAATATTGTTGATTGGTAAACTGTTTGGTGTGGCCCTGAAACATATGTAGCAACCTTCAAGCAAAATACAGCTAGTTTGCAAATTAAAATTTAAAGTCTGTGTCATAGCTTTGTTAACCGTTTCCATTTTCTCATTCACAAAGATAAAAGGTCTCAAACTCTGTCAAGATAAAAATCAATTAACCAATTTCTGGCATTAATAATTTTTTGTTGGCTTCCATATTATTCCCTGGCCATTTAGAAGTTAACAGATATATATTTATTACACTATGTCAGCAGTATGGAATGACCTGTTACTACATAATGTAATTGAATGGCATTGGCTACTAGCTGAGTGGATGCTTAGCTTGATTTTGATTTATGATTTTATGATTTGAAATTCTATTATTCATAATAGTGCTTCTAAAGCTGTACTGTTGGCATATTTAGAAAAAATGGTTCAGAGTCAGACAATTTTACAATGAGGCCAACACTTAGCTACCAGTAGCTTAAATTGGCAGCTTTCCATGCTATTGGTTTGAGAGGTTGTAAGTTTTAGTACAGAGTGTCTACCTTTAAAAATCCTCTCAGTTAGCAGATTAACTCACCTTTAATTAGTGGCAAGCTGAAAACCCCACCTAAGTGTTAAGAGGGCGCCATTTCTTAAGTGATAATCTGAATAAGCTACTTATCCTAATTACAATCTTAATAAGCCACTTTTCTTTAGTGGTAATCTGAATAAGCCACTTTTCTTAAGTGGTAATCTGAATAAGCCACTTTTCTTAAGTGGTAATCTGAATAAGCCACTTTTCTTAAGTGGTAATCTGAATAAGCCACTTTTCTTTAGTGGTAATCTGAATAAGCCACTTTTCCTAAGTGGTAATCTGAATAAGCCACTTTTCTTTAGTGGTAATCTGAATAAGCCACTTTTCTTTAGTGGTAATCTGAATAAGCCACTTTTCTTAAGTGGTAATCTGAATAAGCCACTTTTCTTTAGTGGTAATCTGAATAAGCCACTTTTCTTTAGTGGTAATCTGAATAAGCCACTTTTCTTAAGTGGTAATCTGAATAAGCCACTTTTCTTTAGTGGTAATCTGAATAAGCCACTTTTCTTAAGTGGTAATCTGAATAAGCCACTTTTCTTTAGTGGTAATCAGAATAAGCCACTTTTCTTAAGTGGTAATCTGAATAAGCCACTTTTCTTTCGTGGTAATCTGAATAAGCCACTTTTCTTTAGTGGTAATCTGAATAAGCCACTTTTCTTAAGTGGTAATCTGAATAAGCCACTTTTCTTTAGTGGTAATCTGAATAAGCCACTTTTCTTTAGTGGTAATCTGAATAAGCCACTTTTCTTTAGTGGTAATCTGAATAAGCCACTTTTCTTTAGTGGTAATCTGAATAAGCCACTTTTCTTTAGTGGTAATCTGAATAAGCCACTTTTCTTAAGTGGTAATCTGAATAAGCCACTTTTCTTTAGTGGTAATCTGAATAAGCCACTTTTCTTTAGTGGTAATCTCAATAAGCCACTTTTCCTAAGTGGTAATCGTGAATGCCACTTTTCTTATTAATAAGTTGTTATCTGAATTAAGCACCTTTCATAGGTGATAATCTGAATATTACACCTCTTATAAATGGTAATCTGAATATGGCACCTTTTATAGGTGATAATCTGAATATGACACCTCTTATAATGGTAATCTGAATATGGCACCTCTTATAAGTGGTAATCTGAATACATAATTACATGTATAGCACCTTTCTTAAGTGGTAATCTGAATATGGCACCTTTTATAAGTGGAAATCTGAATATAGCTCCTTTATTAAGTAGTATTTTAAATTTGTTAACTGTTTGGTTGAAACAAAATCTAATTTTTAAAGGATTTAAACAGTAATGCTAAAATTGATAAGCACCTGTATTTAGATTAATGTGACATGAATGTACATATTTTAACACAATTATTTTACACTTTTATCACATGCATCTGCAGTGTTAGATTCATATTTACAATATATACTCATCAAAGTCTAGTAAGCTTTTACATAATATCACTTTACACAATATTTATGTGCACAGTGGCTTAAAAATTATTAGTATTTTGCTTGAATGTTTTTGCATTAGAAGGGCATGCTGTGTGAAACTTTTTAATAAAAAAAATTAAAAGACCACTGATAACATAATGTTTAACAATATTTTTATCTGTTACGTAATTATCTTAAGAAATTTTAGCGATACATGTATTATTATATTCTTCCATACAAAATGAAAACAAATAAAACTTCTATTCTTTGTAATTAATAATGTGTTATTGTAAGAAAACATGTTTAGGTATTTCAACAAAGATCTTGTATTTAGTACTTCTATTCATAATCACCTTTTACATTTGATTTTCCAATTTTTCAGCTTTTTTGTCTCCAACCATTTTCCAGTCCGAAGACAAAAAAGAGGTCCCCCTCACATCACATAGCAGAACCTGAAAATACCCAGTTTGGCACAGACTTCATGGCATAAAAGGACAACCTGACATTCAACTGCTCAGCATAAAACATAATGGCATTACATATTCAGAAGCTGAAAAAATACCTTGAATTCGGGTCATATACGAGGAAACTATGTGTTTGCTTCCTTCATCAAACATAAAATGGACTTGTCCATCTTTGAATCCGGACAAAACCATTCATCATCCTTAGGGATACTTTCAAAAATATGTACAGACTGAATAGAGAACAGTGCAGATCATCATCAGATGGCAAAGAAACAAGGGAATTTTCTTCAATAGTTGACCTTCTGGAGTGCAATAAAATCTAGTACATGTATTACATAATGATATGTCATGTCTGCTCCATTGCAATGGTAATGGTGGAAAATTTATTTGGTGTCAATTGTATGGCTTTAAACTCAAAATGTAATAATTTCATTTCAGCTGTAAGATTAATATATTCATACATTACAAAGAACGTCAATAACTACATTTATATATATACAAAAGGAAAAGATTGTGATAGACTAATTGGCTTTGATACATCACTGTGAGATCGAGTGACCATTACCATACCATCAGATACCATTTATATTGAGCAATACACCGCAATAATGTATTCATCACAAGTAAAAAATAGCCTGTATGAAATCAGGACTGCGGTTGCGAAATTTGGGGACAGAATCGTTACTGTAAAACAACTATAGGCTGTATATAGAGTTAAAAGCTACTTTAGTTAGTAAAAGTAAAATAATCTGTGAACAGTTTTTGATGGAGATTATGAATCATTCCAAGTTGAGGAAGAAACTGGATCATTGACATTATTTTAATGTCAGATCAAGATCATATTTTTATGTTTGAGTATATCCGTCTGCCTCTGTATACCACCACTAACCGTTTTGTGTCTGCTGGATATGTATGTTTAATAATGAAGTCTGTCATTTGTATAATCAAAATAAAAGTGAATAGTTAAGCGAGGGATGACCGCAAAACTGTTGTAAGACCTTCTTTATTTCATATAAGTTACAACAGTTTTGCAGTCAACCCTTGAATTGCACTTACAGAAAAAAGAAAAAAATCAGATTGAGGTCTGTTTACTAAAAAGGATATTTTACTGTTAGCAATATGATATACTTGTACCCCTCATCCTAGAAAAAAATGGTTCCTTCCAGAAAAAAAATGGTTGACAAATAATCCTTGCTCAATTTAACTTAGAATAGTTGGAAAACAAAACTGGTAATCGTTTTTTCAAGACTTGGTGAATATATTGGAACAAAATAATAGTTACATTTATAAGAGATAAAATGCCAGTTGATTTAAGAGAATGTGGTTAATGTGGTTTTAAGTAAATAATACAAGTTTTTTTCCTGGAGGATGGGGCAGTTTATATTTTCATTATGAACACTATTGCCCAGTTCTATAACATTGTATGGCTGCTGTAATAATTGTATTGTTTTTATGCACAGTGTCTATAAATTCTTTCAACATGTAAAAGGCTCTTTTTAAAAAGGCGGGCCCTTTGGGTTATCGTTCTGCTAATATTGTTTGAAATCTTTTTTTTAAAACCATTAAATTTTTATTTATGATGTAATTATTTTAAAGTAGGTGGGAACATTTTGTGATTTGAGCCCATTCATTTTTAAAATTCGTGAAAAGTGGTTTAAAACAAAGAAATTAGGCATTGTATTTTTATCGGTGTAGTATAAAAAAAAAGGTAAAAAATCCCCATATTAGAGTATAAACAGTCAATTAAAATTAAAACAGAATTTTGTCTTTATTGTAAAAAGGGAGGTAAAAAATTATATTCCATAAAACATACATAGAAATTTTCCCCTGAATTCGAAAAAGGTTTTTTAACTGCCGAAATATGGTAAAATATGCCAATGACAATTTTATATTAAATTTATTGAGAAGATAGTTAAGGATTTTTTTTCTCCAAAAACAAATCAATTTTTACGGGCCTGATTAAAAATGTTCTGTTTGTATATTGTACAAATTAGGAACAACTGAGACAAATTTATGATAGTTTAAATGTTTTGAGCTACTTTATTAACTTAGAAATACTTTTACTGTGGATATGTATAGAATTTTAGAGAAGCCATTTTAGACTTGCTTATATTTTTATACTGTTATTGGCCTATATTAAGTGTGGATGCTGGCATGTTTTTGTTATCAATTTAAAGATTTTTAAACAAACATTTTTAGATGTGTATTTGTGTAATGTGTACTGCATCAGGCTATATTTGCAGAATGGATTTTTTTTTCGTTATTTTTTTTCATTTTGATGTAAAACTTTTATATTCTATAACAAATTAGTAACTTGTATGTAATGAATTACAGGAAAAAGAAGTTTCATTAAGTATTTTTTTATTCACATAATTATACTTTGTAAATTTTGTATTTTATAAAAATCAAAATTAACAGTTCACTTATAACAAATCTTTTAGGCATGAAATTATTTGATGAAATATAAATGGAATTTAGAGAAAATTTTGTCGAAAAATTTTTCTATTATTTTTTTTTTTTTTTTTTTACCGGGGACCGTTTGGGCCCAGTGGTTAAAAAGTTGCCTTTGGATGGGAGGTCAAAAGGGTTTAAACCCGTAGGGGGTGTTAATTTAAAAATGAAAGTTTTTTCTGTGGAATATTCAAATGGCTGCTTCGTGAGGGCCCCAGGGGTTAAAATGAATTGTTACGATTTTTTTCTGCCCGGCCCCGGGATAGTGGTAGGGGGTGGAGGTAATGGTATGCAAACAAAAAGGGGTCTCAGAAGTAGAATGGCTGGGCCCTTTCAGTAGGTGACCTATAATAAAAGACCCCTTTTCCTTTTTATTATTAAATTTTAAACTAATTGTGCCTTTTAATTTTTAAAAAAAATTTTTAATGGGAATTTATGAATTTATACCAAAATTTTCTATTAACTTATTTTTTTTTTTTTGACAATTTTTGTTTTAAAAAAAATTCATAAGATAAGATCCCGTAATGATACAGAATACCCCGTTGAACTTGACTTTTATTTGGGAAGATTTTTTTGTTCTCTCAATTATTTTTTGTAATGTTAGTGTATTAAATGTCATACTGAACCCAGACTTGATTTTTGTATATAGTTTTTTAACTATGATGATGTTTTTTTTTTTGTTGTTGTTATAAATATTCGGTATAAGTCTGTGTGGTCACAAATTTGATTTTAACACGTGACATTCATTGCATACTTAGCTCCGTGTGAAAAACCATCCAAAAAAAGTGGAAATGTGGTAAAAAGCACTAATGATTTATGCAATATAAAAAATATGTATGAAAAAGGAAGAAGGTTTTTTTGTTGTTATTTTATACTGTTTTCTTTTTTCTTTTTTTCTTTGAATAAAAAACAAACAACAACACAACAATACCCTAAACAGTATTCCTACACTTTCGGAAAGAACAGTTTATATTATTTTTAAACATTGCTATAAATGAGGTGTAAGAATTGTATTATTTTAATATCACAATTTGATATTATGTTTTTATACATAATACTTTAAATGAATGTGTAAACAATTGTGTAATTGAAATTTAATGATTTTGAGAATTTCCCTCATATACATAATTATTTGAATTTTTTTTAGTAGTTTATCAGCGAAATTTAAAGAAAATTGATTCATTGACAGGACTGTAATAGGAAAACTTGATTCTTTCAAATAAGCAATTTATAATGTTGTTTTTTTTAATATATATAATATATTATTTATGTATATTTGTTATTTTTGAGTGTATATGTATTATATGGTATGCTTATTTGTTGTGACTGCTAAATTGTGTTATTGTTATATAATAGTGTATGTTTTTTTCTCTTTTTTTCTTTCTTTTCTCTCTTTTTTTGTCAAACATGCTAGATTGCTAATTTTCTGGCAATAAATTGCTAGTTTTTACTGCCAACATGTAAGTGGCTATATACTCAACTGGCAATAAACTGCTAGTATGTTTTAAGTTGATTTCTTATTCCTCCCTTCACCCTATGATCATGTCAGAATTTCTGTCAGCATTTTGTTTGTCTTTTGGTTTAATTAATTATTTGTTCTGAAGACCACAATTATATAATATTCTAGTCATTTTGATCAAACTTTAACATGATTATCATCTTTTGGCTGTTTTTAGTGCTTTATGGCAATAATGACTTAGGTATGCCACCACATCTAGTTGAGGGAAAGATTACTTGGTGGCTAAGGCATCTGCCTCTCAATCCTTGGAGTGTAGGTTTGAGCCATACTCATGGCATGACCATGTTTGCACATATGGAAGCAGTATTGGTTAGTACCAGGAAATGAACATGGGAGTTATTCAAATAAGCTTCATCTTTTTAATCACAATTGAGCTAACATAAATATGATCAAACAAATTAAATATAAATTGTTTTCTGGCCATTTTGCACAGATCTGTACTGTTTGAACCCCAGCTGTATATTGTTGGCCATTCAATATTATTACTTTAATGCTGAAAGTCCTTAAACTATAAAGGAACTCTTCTAAATTCAAAGCATGGTACAGTCCATTCTATAAATTCAGCAAGGTGAAAACTAAATCATCCAATTATAAGATTTAATTGAGGATAATTATTATTTTCTTTTCTCATAAATCAAGGATACTTCTTATTAAAAGAGTCCTGGTCTAGGCATCATACAACTATAATAGGACATGGTATCTTTTGTCCTTCCATGTTGACAAAATATTTTACAGTATATTGCACTTAAAATAATTAAGAAGAATGATCTGTAACTGATAATAGAAATAGAAAGAATGGTTTGAACTTGTCTGGGTATTGTTTAGGGGGTGAATAAAAAATTTTCTTGGACTATACTGTACAAGATCTTTGTGCACATATTCTGGTCATTTTCTGTTTAAATTATTTCTTTGCGGAATTATTTCCCCTTGATTTAATGTATAGCACAAACTATATTGGAATACTTGCATCTGTGTTAGTGAAAGCTTACCAGTATTAGATTTGCTTACTAAGCATAATTGGTTGTTGTCAATATAAACAAATTTTTGTAGGAAAAATATCCTAAGATTTTATTTTTTGTAGTTTTTAAATATTCAATTATATTTACATATTGTGATAACCAGTTTAATCTGTAACTGATTTTGTAGAAATGAGGATGATATAATTAATTGACCCATAATCTGCTGGAAGTAAAAGTGATTAGCCTTTTCCACCAGTATAGAGCAATATGCCAGTATGCCAGCCTGAATATTCTGCCCATATACTGTAAGCAGATAACCTAGAGATCAACTTATAATTTTCATTTTTATTACCCAAAGTTGATAATGGACTGTTCCAAGAATGGAAACTGGACAAGTCTATTCAAGAAAATTCAGCAAGTTAAGTGTTAATTATCAAACCTTGAATATTGTTATAGATTTCTTGTTTATGCTTATTTGACAAGAATTTTTTATCCCATACATTGTACATGTAGTTTTAAATGAAGTGATAGTATGTGAATTGCATCCGAATTTTAATGTTTTATTTTGTTTTTAAATATTATAGAAATATTGTTTACATGATATTTAAGATTTTTATCTGATATTAATATGATTTTATTTATATGAAGCATTTTACTGACATTTTGAATTATTTATAGAACGGATTTTACTGATGCCTTTCATTGGTCAATTTTAAAACACTGTGATCATGATTAACCAATCAGAAAAGAGACTGTGGTTTTATAGTATTTGATCAAGTTGTTTACAAATGAAACAAGAATTAGCAGAGCTACTTTTAGTTTATGATTATTGTTAATTTGGTTGTTTAAAGAATAATACAAACTATTTAAAAAATGTTTCATTCAAGAATCTCAAACTTTCATATTGATATTATTTTACCATAGACATCTTCAGTAAAGCCTCTAGTCTTTTTGTATAATATGTAAGTAAACTCAGCTTAGCAAATAAAAGAAAACTGCATTATTAATGGTATTGATGGTATATGTGGAACAGTGGATTTGATGAACTTTTCGAGTGTTAGCTGTGATAATAACAGACCTATGAAAGTCAGTGCTCACTATGTCAGTTAGTGAACACTATGTAACCCAGTGTACACTCTGTAATTC